ATTTCTGGCCACTAGGGGGCAGAACAACTGCACAACACACCGACGGACACACAGCCTCAGGGTTCCCACTTTTATACAATGTACCGCTACGGCTAGAATTTACTTTAACAGTAAACATTTTCAGGATATTTGGTCACTTTAATCCATTTACAGGTGTTTTGATTGGAAAACTAAAGTCTCTAAAATGAGAAAGTTCAGCTACTCAGAAACTGTTTCTTTGTTTCTCAGATTTGAGCCTCATTAAATTATTTTCTCTCCGCAGATCAAACACATCGGTAAGGCAGCAGAAAGGAAATGGGTTCAATTTCATTTCATTTGTACAATTTAAGAATGTAAGAATGACTTTAAATGTACAACATTATTGTATTGTCAAAGCCACAGAGAGCCACTGGAGGGGAACTGGTTAATACTACAGGTCCCAGAATACAGGAAGTAATCAGACAACAACCGTGACCTGATTTTATGCTGAAGGTAACTGGTTACCTGGCTGAGAGGCTGGAGGTGTGCAGCTCTTCCTCAATCAGCTCACTGTGGCTCCGTCCTGTCCCATCACTCCATCACATATTTACAGCTGATCTGCTGGCAAAAACATTCAGAAACTGACCATTATCTGGTTACGATAGCAGCCAGTGCCACTTTTAAACTTCCTGTGACTAGCTTACTTCAAAATAAAAGTCACCTTGAAGGAAGTGATGGTTCTGGTTCTGTGGATTGTAGGTCAGTGAGCATCAGAGGGATTCATATCAAATGTAAAGAGAGGATAAATAAAGCACCGGCTAAATGATACTGTGTGTTTGTGTGTGTGTGTGTGGCATAAGTGTCAATCTGACTGACAGCAGAGGGATTAGAGGGACCAGCTCGGGGTTCCCTTGGCGTCTCTCTGTTGTCCAACTAAAATAAGTTTATAGCAGCGGCCCATTGTTCTGACTCTGTGTGTGTGTGCGTATGTGTGTGTGAGTGAGTGAGTGTGTGTGTGTGAGAGAGAGCGAGCTGTGGTTGGTGGGACAGGTGTTTGTGAGTGTGCGTTGGGGCTGTAGGGGGTTTATACTGTATTATACCGGGATTAACACTGTGCACAAATGGTGTGTGTGAATGTGTGTGTGATTAAAAAGTTACGGTACGCTGCACGTATTATTTATATCAACATTAATTATCAATATCTCAATATCAATTATTTTTATTCTCTTCTGCAGCTTTTACACTGAAAAGCACTCTGTGTTTAGCAGTGTTGGCGATACGTTATCTTCAAACGAGGGCTCTTTTTAAAAAAAATCTGAAATACTATTGATCCTCGGGGGGTAAATTACTGATGGTACAGATGTTCAAGTTGCAAAAAAAAGAAATAAGAAGAACGTTAAATGTGCATTATATTACAATATATAACAGCAATACATATAGAAAATAGAAAATAAGAAATGTTGCGCTTACCCTACTCTCGCCGCTCTTGCCCTGGCGTTGACTTTTGACCTTTCATGAGAGTGAAGACGCTGTTAGCAGCAAAGCTTCAGTCAGCAGATTCACAACTTCAGAATCAGACCATCGACAGGTTTGTGGTTCATTTAGATCGATCCAGAGTACCGATGAAGTCACGTCTATAACGCCTTGTAATCCCCGACTCGTATCTGTGAATCTTTACAGCCCTAATATTAACAGATCTATGACTTTTAGGCTCCACACACTGCACGTCAGCCCATATTAACATGAGATAGACACTGTACCATCCGTTTCCACAACTGCAAGATTAAAAATGTAATTTTACTGCTCACGATGTAAAGTAACCTTCCAGGAATCAGTGCTGTTTGACTGGCCATTGGCACCAACATAGCGGTTTCCCTGAACTAAACAAGGAGAGAACCGTATCAGACGCAGTGAGCGATGTGTTCACTGTCACTGGGAGGACGGTCTGGTCAGATGGATCCATTAGTTTCTTTTCCAGGGAGTAAATTGTTCCTGTTGACAGCTGCTGAGTGTTTGCTGACGTTACAGACTGACAGACTGCTGCTGCTCCGTCCTGAATGTCCACAGATCCACATTAACGTGATTAAAGGATCCTCACTAGTATTACTGAAAATACCAACTATTATTTATTATTTACTGTCTACTAGTGTCAGCTGTCAGTCAATATTAAGGCCGTCTGATTATGGCAAAGAACGTGGTCAATACAGAAGGACCCAGAATACCGGAAGCATTCAGACATTAATCATCATTTTCCATCATCCTGAGGTCTGATTTTAAGCAGCAGGAGTCTGTGACCAGCGACAAAAAACATTCAGAAACTGAACATTATCACTTTATGATAGCGACCAGTGTCACTTTGCGCTTCCTATAACTACCTTACTTCAAAATAAAATTCAACCCGTGCTTCGTTGGTTAAATGCTTTAAATGTGAAGCTGCAGCAGTAGTTCTGAGACCCTCATTATCTTTACAGTCTGTCCTGTGTTCAGCTTTGTGATGGTGAATTTAGATTGAGATCTCAGCGTATAAAAGGAATACTTCATCCTTCAAAAGTAACTAAAGCTGACAGATATAAATGCAGTGGAGTAAAAGTATAAAGCTGAATATAATAAAGGTATTGGTGCACACTGGTGCATGAGTCAGTGGACCTGAGAGTGTGAACTGGAGGTCTACGAGGTATTTTTATGGCTGTGTGACTCAGGATTTTACTCTGGATTAGAGAGAATCAACAGGAAGGACAACTGGAGAGAGAAAGGGGGAGAGAGAGGTGAAGGAAGGTCAAAGGGGAGAGCGATAGAGAAAGAGGAGGAGGAAAATTAAATTAGTCAGCAGATATCTCGTTCCTTTCCCAGAGAAAGTCAGATCTCTCTGGGAAATGAACAATCTGTCCTCCAATCGTTTATTTTTCCTCCTGCCAGAGAGCGAGACAGCTGATGGACGGAGGGACGGAGGGACGGAGGGGACAGCTGGTAGGGATGGAGGGAGGATGGATGGAGGGCTTACAGAGAAATGTGCAGCAGTATCAGCAGTAAGTCTGTGAGTAAACCTTTATTTATAAAACGCCTCTAAACACAGAGGGGTCAGCCAGCAGCAACACTCTCAACAGCAGGAAAAAGGAGGAAAAGTTTTAATCGCATCAACAAACTGAAACAATACTGTGTACAAATCTCACTAAAATGAGCTCGAGGAGGTGTTGGTTCATCTGTTTATCTGTGAATCAATGTGTCTGAATTATAACACCTATTCTGATAAATACCCCCATATTACAATAAAACAACTGAAACTAATAAAAACTAAACTAAAACTATTATTAATAGTATTATTAATATTTTTAATAAAAAAAAACGTGAAACAAGAAAACACACTCATACTGTATCATTAACTAACTAGTTACATCTAAAAGCTGATGTTAGCAAAATACTAAAGCTAACTATCGATCTAATTTCCATCAATTGTTAGTCAGATAACATTACTAACGGTTGGTAGGAATGATCTATTTATGATTACTATTTAATTACTTTTACTTTAAAGATTCTTTTATTTATTCTTTTGCTGATTTACTTAAAAAGAACATGAAGTGCAGTTTATTCATTTATTTATTTTCATAATTATCTTAACAAGGATTAATCTGTAAGTATTTTACTTACAGATTCTGAATCTCTTGGATGTTTTGTTGCTGTGATATATGTTGTGTGTCTGTGTTTTTTATGACTTTGACTTGTGTTTTTTGTTTGTTCTTTTTGAGTTTTTGTGAATTAAATAAAAAAAAAACATTTTGTTAACTAGATGTGACTATATATGTGTATATGTATTTTCAAAATGTGTTTGTCTTTTCAACATAGATTAGCCTAGCACGTAGCATATCTGAGTACAGGAAAGCTGGAAGTTGACTGAGGCAAAAGGGACGGGGCTTTTGAAGGGTCAATTGTGGTTTGGGGGAGGAGTTACAGGCAAGTTTATCTGCTGTTACAAATGAACTTGGACCCAATCTGAACCACATGGTCTGTGGGCTTCAACAGGAACGCCAAAAAATCCGCTGCAGGTCCGCTGCGAGCTCTGCTGGGATAATGGCTGCTCAATAATTCACCAACATAAAGAGACATTTTAAGGACGTGTAAGTTATTACAAGTGTCTTAAAATTGCTCCAGGATTTGCAGCTACGGCAGTAACACGAGTGGAGACCTTTCTGCTGCGGCAGCTGATCGCAGAGCAGAAGTGAGTTTTCATGAGATTATGAGGTTTAAAGAGGCTGCAGGTCGGAGGTGAAGGCAGGGTTGTTCTGTCTGAGTCAACTTTCCCTGAGGGTTGAAGAGTAAAAATAGCGTCCTGCTGCATCTGAACGCCTCCTGTTTAATCCCACAGCAGATCTATTATTTCACTGTAACTGTACGCAGAGAAAAAAAATATCACAACAGACCGCTGTTCAGATCCTAAAGCTGCTCTCTGTGTGCGATAATGAAACAGTGTGTGTGTCAATGCCTCGTTTATAACTGTCATTCACTAATGGGGGATTATACTGACAGAAAGGGAGGATGATGGGAGATTAAGATGG